CATTACGCTTCTACTTTCTATTCAATTTTCTATTTAACATTTCCCTCCGCGAATTTTTCTATCCACGGTCAACGGATAGTTGTCAAATTATCTCCGACCTCTGGTTAAAAGTTTCAACTTTTCCGACACTTGTGAAATTTCGCTTAAAGAAGCGAGGAGGAAGGTACCTTGAAAAAACCTGAGGACATCGTCTGTCGTTAGATCATGGCTCATGGATCCATACGGAGGGAAATGATATCGATCTCACGTCGAATCGTGATACGTCTCTCCTTCGTTCTAAATCACTAGCCCCCGGAATACCTGCATAAACCGCACAAAACACACGAGAGCGAGACCGCATGATTCTGCGAAGACAAAGAGTCGATAATCGAGAGGCCAGCGAGATACACGCGACTTCTCTCGACTCCTCGCTTATCTCAACCCCATCAGCGGTGCCTACGTTCAATGTTTCCTTCAGGCGAGTCCATCAAGATTTCCCTCTCGGCGAGACCGGGTTCGACCACGGGCGAACGTCTCAATCAATCCCTGGTTGGGATCCCTGTCTCGGAAGACGCGCACCGCGCGCGCCGCACGCCTCCGCGGCCATCCGTGCCGCAAAATCGCCACCACGGGGGTGGATTGAGACGCGGCGGGGTGTGGCCGGACCCGGGATTAACCCCGTCTGACAGCCAATCATATCCAAGACAGCCCCACCACGGACGTGGATCCCTGACTGGAAGAACAGGCTGAAACTGTCGTCGTCCTCAGCCTCCACCCTCTCCTCCAGCAACCCCTCCACCGCTAATTGCCCTGGCTTTAATATCACGCGTGGAATGAGAAGCCGCGAAGGGGCGAAGGGGACACGGGATAAGGCATACGGAATACGCCGAAGAGCACACCAGGCAAACGGAGACTGCGCCCGTTCTCTGCGTCCTCTCTCTCTCTCTCTCTCTCTCTCTCTCTCTCTCCTCTGTGACATCTACATCGAACGAAGAAAACAGAAGGCGGACTATGGCAGAGGATAGCAGAGACAAGAACGGACTAGAACGGAGGAGGGCGCGGTGTACGCGTGCATATTTGTGGACTTTACGCGCGTACGCGGAGCGATTTTCGAAAGGAAGGGGGGGGG